TGTGTAGGCTGACTCTGCTGTACTCCACACTAGTGTTTCTGTCCAGAGAGGCCTTCAGGAGAGCATGTCTGAGTGGAGGATCAGGGACCACCCACAGCTGGAGACAAGTGATCAACCTGCTGTGGCTGACGTGAGTTCAGTTTACTAAAGTCTCACAAAAACGAACCTTTACACTTTCTTCCGGGGGTATTGGATTTATGACGAGAACAAAGTCATGATATTATGACATTAATGTTGTCACATGACAAAACAGAGGTCACGATATTTGAAAAATAAAGTAGTAATATTGCAAGAAAAAGGTTGGAACATTATGAGAACAAAGTCGTAATATTGCTCATAAGCATCAGGACTTTGAAAAGAAGAACAAACTGGAGGAAGTTTAATTGAGTAGTGGTTCAGTTGTGTGGCTGTCGTTTGTTAGAGCCGTGTGATGTTCGGCGTGGTTTCATACTTTCTCAAGAAACAACAAGATTATTAATCAAGATTTTGGCTCCAGAAGGAGTGGGACTCAGGTGAGAGCAGGTTCTTTGTGCTATTTCCTAAATGTTCCTAAAGTTACTTTTTTCTAATTTGTTTTTTGTGTTAATTTCGGGATGCATTGCAGCGGCTTTCAATATGTGTACGTTTGGGGAAGTCTTGGGATTGTCACAGTGTTTTTATTTCACAGATAAGACTGATAGTTTCTGAGTTAGGAGCATTTGTTTGGGGTGGGGGGGCACCAGAGCTTCTTCATCTCTCTGAGCTGGGAGATAACAGGGATCAAGTCAGTGAGTATCCACAGCAACGACATACACACACAGAGGAGAGGGCTCCTCTTCATATTTACTGATTTAGTCCAGATGTGACATCACTTCCTCTGTGACGCAACGTCAACACTGAGTGAGGACCCCCCCATAGTAACAGGATGATACCAGGAAACATGTAAAGAGACTGGATTTTCAAAATAAAAATACCACCCCCTGAATTTATCTCATTACACTATAGGAAAAAAGATGATATTTACTGTCTCTTCATATCTGCTGTACTCAAGCTCTTAAATTCCAGTAATGTTCTTAAAAACATTCAAAAAAAGTCATTGAAACCTGCAGACATCCGGTTTACCTCTCTCACCTCTCAGGCTGCCTCTCGGTGTGTTATGGGCTACCCTGCTGGTCTGCGTGTGGCTCTGGCTCCTCGAGGTCCCAGATCCCCAGACCATCCCGCACTACGGCCCTGCTGTGGTGTTGTTTGCCGTGGCAGGAGTGCAGGAGCTGCTGGCTGAGCCGCTCTGGGTCCTGGCTCAAGCTCACATGTTTGTCCGCCTGAAGGTGGTCGCTGAAAGTTTAGCGATGATCGCTAAGTGCAGCGTAACCGTGGTGCTAGTGGTGTCGGCCCGTGAATGGGGGCTTTACATCTTCTCTGCTGCTCACGTAAGAAATCAACTGAAGTTTCTTTCATTAATACTGTTAATATGTCTTTCACGTGTAATCATTTCAATCTTATGTCAGTTGGTGTACACAGGATTCCTGGTGCTGTGCTATGGCGTTTACTTTGTTCGTTTCCTGGGCTCTAAAGAAGCAGAGAAGAAGAGTTTTCCTTTGAACCGTGTTGCAGATCTCTTGCCCTGTAGAGCAGAGGGAGAGGTAGTTTATCACACAAACAAAAAAGAATCCTCAAAATGAAACAGATTTTCCAAAGTTTCCAGCAGTGCTCTTGGTCTTTATCTAATGTTCTTTGCAGGCGCTGGTTGACTGGACTCTAGCCCGGCTCACATGGAGCTTCTTCAAACAGTCCTTCCTGAAACAGATCCTGACGGAGGGCGAGCGCTACGTCATGACCTTCTTAAACGTCCTCAGCTTCGGAGAACAGGGTGTTTATGATATCGTCAACAATCTGGGCTCCATGGTGGCGCGCTTCATCTTCTTGCCCATTGAGGAAAGCTTCTACATCTTCTTTGCCAAAGTGCTGGAGAGAGGTCGTGATGTCAGAAGTCAGAAACAGGTTGGAATTTTGGAAATAAACAAAGATATCTTCATCTGAAAAACTGGTTGTTGATTTTACTCCATCTTACCTCCACAGGAAGACGTTGCCATAGCAGCAGATGTCCTGGAGTGTCTGCTGAAACTGGTGCTGGTGATCGGTCTCATTATCACAGTGTTTGGTTACGCGTTCTCTCACTTGGCTCTGGACATTTATGGCGGCTCTCTGCTGAGCAGTGGAGCAGGTCAGTGAACTAACACTGTGATCCCAGGAGAATCCAAGATATTATGGGAATGCATTCACTTGAGAGAAAAAAATTCTGCTCTGTTCTGAATTAACTAGATAGTTCAAATTCCTTTTACTTCCCGTCTGAACATTTCCTGAGGTGCTTGAGCAAAGCCAACTAACTAACTAACTGACTGACTAACTAACTAACTAACTAACTAACAAACTTTGTATACATCTAAAGAGAACCTGTGGTAGTAATAATATAATAATTAAATATAAAGTATTTCAATATAAAGGGCCCAATATAAACAGCAATTGGTACAATTTAGATGAAACACACCAGTGAAAACATCAGTTCAGTATCTGCCAACACACACACACAAACACACACAAACACACACACACACACACACACACACACACACACACACACACACACACACACACACACTACATGTATACATTATTTTACACAGGACATTATANTACATGTATACATTATTTTACACAGGACATTATATTTTGAGCTCTCTCATTTTCCTGAATATATGTCTATATCGTTTGGTATCTTAAGTTATGTCATATGTAATTGTCTTGAAGGGCCTACTTTGCTGCGATGCTACAGCTCCTATGTCCTCCTGCTGGCTGTGAACGGTGTAACAGAGTGTTTTGTGTTTGCTGCCATGAGCCAAGAAGAGATTGACAAGTAAGACTGTTAAAACTCCACAGAGATCCAGTCATCACAGAGTTTATCACCTGTCAGTTAACACAGTTTCTGTTATTCCTCAGGTACAACCTGGTGATGCTGGCTCTGTCTGTGTCTTTCCTCCTCTTGTCCTACTGGCTGACCTGGTGGGCTGGTGCTGTCGGATTCATACTTGCAAACTGCCTCAACATGGGCCTGCGCATCTTACACAGCCTGCTTTATATACGCCGCTACTTCCAGTCCAGTCAGTGGAAACCACTGCGAGGCCTCCTGCCCTCCCCGCTCCTGCTGCTGGCGCTGGCTGTCAGTGGAGTTGTCACAGCAGTTTCTGAGGTATCACAGCAACGTGCCTTTTTAATTGCTTTCTTTTTAAAATGTTCTTATCCAGAGATGTAAATGAACTGAGGCAGATTGATATTTTGCTATCTGTGTCGATGTCAGTGGCCTTAACGTGAGCTTCTCTTCCTCTCTGGTTCCAGAGTGTGTTCTGCTGTGACAGTGGCTGGTTACTGAGGCTGGTCCACATTGGAGTTGGTGCAGTGAGTCTGCTCTGTGTGCTTGTAACTGTTCTTCTCACGGAGACTCGGCTGATTCAGTTTGTGAGGACTCAGCTGTTGCCCCAGTACAGAAAAAAACACTCGTAAATTTGAAAATGGAAGAAGACGTCTGCACCGATACAAACTGCAGACTAAAAGCTACTAACTGACGTTTACGGGTTGTGTGAAGGGAACACAACAAGGAAATGTACCTCTTTGTGTGTGTGTGTGTGTGTGAGTGTGTGTGTGTGTGTGTGTGTGTGTGTGTGTGTGTGTGTGTGTGTGTGTGTGTGTGTGTGAGAGAGAGATAATTTCACTGCAACATTCCTGTGTCGTATGTAAGTATGAAGAAACATGGCGTGACTGTTTCAGGATCTATTTTTGGCTGAAAAAGGAGATGAATGTATTTTAATACAACTGAAAATGTGAGTTCGTGGGAAGGATGGGTTGTCCCAACCAAACTTAACTGGGGAACAATTAAAAATGAAATTTTGCGATGCCAAATGATGATTATTTGTCATATTTGATTTCAGTAATTTGGAAGCTTTAAATTTATTTCAGTAAATTTCAGGTTTCAATAAAATTATAATGCAAATAACATGAAACAGCACAATACAACAAATACTCTTTAAAATCAGGGTTTCCAACAGGTCTCTAAGTCTAAAATTTAAAAAATAATAATCAGAACTTTAGGCCCTTAAAAAGTATGACAAGCTCATAAACATTAGTAGGCAGGTTTTAAATATGTTTACATTCATTTGATGCTACTTGCGTTGTGTGTTTAAGTGACTTTTAGTTATAGAGGAATGTTGGCGGCCTGCGTAGTTTGTAATGACTCTTTCTCAATAATACACATGTTGATATAAATCTACAAACAAGACCAACATGGAGTCTATGAACACCTGCCTCATAATTAATCTCAGTTCACTCGGCTTGGCTGTGGGAATGACTGTGGATACCTACTGTCACTGAGACGACGTGGAGTTTCAAGGGTACTTCTCTACTTAGCTACTTCACCATATCTTCAGTTATGGGGAACTGTGAGTAATTGTAGGACTCTGATATTCCTTCTTATCTGTTGCACTTGACATAGACTTAAAAAGTCTTGAATCAACTTGTTGAAACCTGCAGAAACCCTGGAAATGAAAGAAGTCGATTATGGAAACTTGCTTGATAAATATTTGAAAACATTTGATAGAGCAAAACGTTATAAAACAAAAGACTTTATGCATTCTAAGACTTTTATTATTTCATTTGTCTCTTTACTTTTGACTCTATTAGAGCCTGACTGGTTTAATGTGACCACTTTACTGAAATGTTGCTGGGAAACACTTTGGTTATTTGTTGTTCTTTCCTCTTTTGGCCCCTACTGGGCGAATCATAACATAATTATAGGAAACAAGCAGGAAAGCATGGGAGCGACTTTTCCTCTCTGCTCTTTTAAGGAAGTTTTCAGACAAAGTGATAGCTTTAAAAATTTTAGTCCAGGTTTTGTAGCTTTCTTGTCACCAGCACAATTAAAAAGTGGTTTGACAGCAGGGGGGCGGGGGAGGATACACAGACGGACACGTTTTTCACCTTCTTGCATCTCTGGGATGTTCTCAGGAGGGATGTGTAGCCAACAGTTTTAGCAGTGAGCTCATCATTTTCTAATGTAGCAGCAGGGGAGACAGCATAGCATGAGAAAAGGCAGAGGGAAGGAGGAGTCTGAACAGTCGTTACATCATTTGTTAGTGTTAGAAACAGATTTATTGTCCTCTGGAGAATCTCTGCCTGGTTGTGTATATATGCGAGCTGAACGTACAGGAGGGAAATAGCAACGGCTGACACAGGAGGAGGAGAGGAACATTTCTTATCAGGATATTTGAACCTTCTCAACCATCATGTCTCAAGTAAGTTACTGTTCTCTAGTGGATTTGATGCTGACATGGACTTTGAGAAATCTCTGATGTGCTCTCTACTTGTTTCTCCAGCCAGGTCAGGAAGAGGATGAACAAATGCAGCGTCCTGAAGTGACAGAAGAGGATCTCACTGAGGCAAAGGACAAACTGGGCAGTGGTGGGCCAGCAAAGAGCAAGACGTTTGAAGTAATGGAGGAGTGCGGTGAGGACACACACACACACACACACACACACACACACACACACACACACACACACACACACACACACACACANACACACACACACACACACACAAACACACAAACACACACAAACACACACACACAAATAACTTGACACTACTCTTGCAGATGGAAGTGAAACTAAACTCTAGAACTTATATCATGCATGGTTGAGCTTTAGGCTTAAATCTTGTCAGTGTGTTTGTGTGTGGGGCGTTTCTCATGGTGTTTCCACTCCATATACAGAGAACACACTCTGTCTCACACCGTGGGGTGAGAAATGAAGTGTGTGTGTGTTTATAAAGAACATATCCTCACTCTGACTCAACCTCTCTCTCTCTCTCTGCCTCATTAACAGTGAAGTATGATGATTGTTTATTTCTCTCTCTTTCACAGCGAAAGTGGGGAAAGCTGCTCCCTCTGTGTTCAGTGGCGTGAGGTCCGGAGCAGAGACGGTTTTCAACACACGTTCAGCTGGACCCGTCAGAAAGTAGCAGGGTGACATCAACACATGTTCCATGTTAGGGGGGTTTGACATGAGTTGATTTACAGCTGTACTTCAGTCTGTGAATAATACTGTTGAAAGATCGTTTTAGTGGCCTGGTTTTGTTTATCTCTGTCCTGCTTGTGTTTTGGCACTTGACTGGTTTCTCTAGGTTTACTTTAAAGGTATAGTGTTGTAGAACTTTGTGATTTTTGTGTTGGAATTGCATGTAGCAGCTGATCACCCCTCACCTCTCCCTCCCCTTCTAAACATGAAAAAGAACCTGTGGTGAACTTCAGTTGTCATAAAAACTCAAAAGGTGTTTAGTTTGTTCAGTCTGGACTAATGTAAAAAACATGGCTCCTCCGTAGAGAGGGTCCCCTCCATGTAAATATAAAGTATTTAAATATAAAGGGAAAACTACAATTCATACAATTTAGATGAAATGAACTAGTGAAAACATCATGAGGATTATTCTACACTAAATTTCCGTTTCACCTAAATCTTACACACTGGACCTTTAAGACTTTATAACATTTTCTAAAAACTGCAATGAATGAAATTTAAGAGTTATGTTGCGTTAGATATGAAAAAATATCAGAGACCAAGAATAATTGATATTTCTGTTATTGAAGATTAGGTGAAGTAGCCTAATCTCCAAACTACAGACACAGTAGGTCTCCATATTCTTTGTCCCGGCCAAGCCAAGTGCACATTGATCCTGTTTGTAAGTTTTCTTTTGTGTGTAAACAAATCTGAAACCCACAACTGCTAAAAAAAACTCAGCATTTCATTGCCAGCGACTGCTTAATGTAATAGTTGTGCATATGACAATAAACCCTTGAATCTTGAGGTTAAATAACAAAGGTCAATCTATGCATGTCGCTACAGCAAAAAGCTCATTTCAAAGCACGACAGAAGTAGTTTTAAATGAACCTTAACATAATCAAGACCTATCTAAATGTATGTAATGACTTGTACATATAATTTTAACAAACTCAAGTCTTTTTTCAGGCCTAAAATTCAGTAATTAAATTTACTTTTTAAGACCCTGCAGAAACCCTGACTTAAACAGTTTAGTTATCGAATGTTCTTCAATTAATTTCTGTATAAATATGAGTTTTTTTAATTAGTCTTTATTGTGGTTTCTTCTTACTGGTTTTTATCCAGTGTATAAGAGTACAGGGAAATAAGCAAACACCTGCCATGTTCTATATTGTTATTGATACGGTTTAACATTCATTGATTAAAAAAATAAAAGGTACCAATCAAAGTTTTTTCTTTTTATTCAAAAAATTATTTCCATCAACAAACAGAATGGATAAAATGTATTAGAACTAAACTAATTTTACAACAGTAAATGAAACATGGAGATCAATGGGAAAACAAAAAATAAAGTGAACCATGTAACAACTGACTGATAAAACCAGCTCTGTGTTGAAGGAGGAAAAAAAGAAGTAGAAATCCAGTTTTATTTCATAAACTTGTGATGTTGGTCTTGGAGGATTTTGGCGGAGGACTTGGCGTCGTAGAACAGCTCGTTGATCTCCTCCACCTGCTCCCTCTCCACGGTCTCTTTCCCCTGAACACGGCCCAGCAGACTGGCTGGTGTCAGCAGCTGCAAAGCGTACCTGCAGGGAAACACACTCAGTATGATCGGGCCGTAAAATTAGTATACGATTATGGAATACAAACATTTCTGAACAGTTTAGCAAGTTTCCCTAATTTTGTAATAGAATGATTCAGGGATCTTGAAGAAAAGAATCCGTCATGTTTAGAGGACTGATATTTCTTGGGAAAAACTGGAACAATTAATGTAAGGCTGCTTGTTTCCTAACTTTATTCACTGACACACACACACAACATGTCCGCCTGTACCTGAGCGTGGTTTTTGTGCCAATCTCTGCCAGGTGTGAAAGTGCTTCCTCACTAATGGTGATGCCCTCAGTCTGTGCACGGATCTTGATGATCTACAAACCACAGCAACATTAGTGACATGCACAGACATGACATCACACATGGAGAAACTCTTACTCTCAGACTCACCTGCTTCATCTCCTGTGGTGTGTACAACATGGTGCGGATTATCATGACTCTGTCCAGTAAGTCCAGAGGGATCCCATGTGGAGAGCTGATGTCCTCGGTCCCTCTGGTGGACAACACGTGGTTGTTAATACTACAAATCTAACATCTTAGTAAACTTCTCTTTTCTGTTTCCTGTTGAAGATTGATCTCTACACATCTTACCTGATTAAACAGTTTCCCCTGTTCGAGGCAAACACAACTATGGGCGCGATGGTGCTCTCGAGGGCTCGATGGAGGTAGGTGAAGCATTCGATGTCCAGCATGTGAACCTCGTCCACGAATAGCACACCAGGTACAAGCTCAGCCACGCCCTGGTCAATGTAGCGATTCACCACCTTGTTGATCTCAGCACGCAGCTTATCTAAAAACAGGAAAATAGATAAAAGCATTCATTTATTAATAATAAAAAAAAGTGGCACACAGTACACATAGCTCCACCATGGCCAAAAGATTATACACCTGGTTGGTCAAGTCTGATAACTTAAATTATAAATTATTTACTACTGCCAAGGAGGTTAGGTTTTCTTCTCTGCTTTTGTTAGTCACTTAGCAGAATTACACAGAAACTACTTAGACTTGTTTTAAAAAAAATAAAATGTAATGGTTTCATTCTCGGCCCTATCTCTCTACCTCGCTCAGTGGAAATTGGTTAATTAGTTTATGTGTGATCCGTCTAACTATTAAACCAACCAACAGACACCTCTTTGGTTAAGGTGACTACGGTTTTGATAGGACTGGGATAGTTTTTTTCCTACCTGTAATTTCTGTCTTTTTTGGCTTCATCAGTTGTCCCATCATGGAGAGAATGTCCTGTCCTCCCTTGGATTGAATAATGAACAATTATTTTTAAATTTTAGAGGGATACCTCAGTGAGACATAAATAACTGAACTTGATGCCACATGACGTGGTGTTTATGTACCTGAGGTCTGGCATTTGCGATGTCCAGGTCGTGCAAAGTCACGTCTTGGACTATCTCCTTCTTTTTGTGGACGTCTCCTTTGGGCAGCGGCACGTACTCCTCTGCCTCCAGATCAAACTCTGTCGCAAATGTGTCACAGCGACCTTGTCTCTGCAAAGACAGAGTACAAAAGCAAAGAATGTTCATAATTTAAAATAAAACAAACTGCCCACTGTTTAACAACAGTGAAACAAAGACAACACAGGAGAGGATGGAGAGCGGGTGTATGACTGAACCTGGTGCCAGGCCAGCACAGAGAGCAGGCTGAGGGATGAAAGGGTTTTGAGGCAGCAGGGTCATGAGATGCTGTCAACAGTAACAAATGTGTCGCCCTTCCCACCTCCTCCGGCCTCTGACGAGAGCTGACCTGCGCCCCCTCCCCCAGCCCACCTGCACCGATTAAAGGAACCGTCATCGCAGCCTGTCAACATAGCCCACAAGCACCGCCGCTGGTAAAGGGGCATTGTGGGAGATGTTGAGATAGAAAAGAGCGGTAGGAATGAGAGATGCTCATTCCAGAGTACAGTAGAAAATGCAACAGAGCTTTCATGCAGAACTGAGAGAGATGAAAGAGCGTGACTGTGAAGGACAGCAGAGGACAGGCAGGACAGAAACCTCACAAATTTGGCATAACCAAGACTTTCTTTAAGATTTTAGTGAATTATTTAATTTGTGAATAAACACCAATCAGGTGATTTACAATCTATGTCCCGCTGATAAAAAAAAAAGATCATCGGTGTGGTGAACAGGTAGAAGTGAAATAGTGATACCTTGACAGCTCCACTGTTTGCTTCAATGTAGATGACGTCTCCCACTTCCACACGCTCTTTCTGCAGACTCTCATAAATACTAGGATCCAGCTGAGGAAACAAGACAAGACATTTTAAGGCACTTACTGATCCTGATATTCCACTCATTGTGTGATAAAGCACCCGCTAATCAAACAAGTGGCAGTAGAACGGGAGCTGGGGTGAACGAAATAATTTGTCAGGACACATGAGAGGAAGAAGAATGTGTTTTTGCACCTAAAATATTTGATTCTTAGTAAATTAACATGGTTAGCATTTTTTTTAAATAATTATATTTTTACTATACCTTCAAATATACAACACAGATCAAGGTGCTTTACAAACAGCAGTTAAACATGTTCTCATGAAGCAGATTAAAAAAATGATATTTCTCAATCTGACCTTGAGCTGCTTTGTGCCTTTGCCCGTCTTCAGACCGATGATGACGTGGCTGATGGTTTTCCCGTAGCCGCCCATGGGATTCTCAGTCTCACAGGGGGTCAGCTCCGTCACCTCCCCCTCATATACCTCCTTGGTTTCTTTGATACGCAGTCCTGAGGGCAGGCGGCATTACAGTCACACACAAAAGCAGTGTACAGAGTGAGAACTTAATCAGGCCTTTATATTCCTGTATCAACTAAGCCGCCACATCCCTCTGTCTATTTTATTACAGGGATAGAGCATGTGTGCGCGTGCCCATGAAATTCCTGGGCATCGTTCTGTGAAACACGATCACATTCTATCCTCGTTCGTGCGGCCTGAGTACAGGCAGCACACAGGTGGACAGTCGTTGTGGTGGGGGTCTGACAACGCTGCTTAAGACAAGGTCTGTCACGGTGCTCTTATCGACAAGGTGATGACAACCTTCAAATGAAAGCCACTCTGCCTGCAGATCGTGTTCAAGGGGAGGAGTGAAGGTGCTGAGGACCACGTCTCCCTCTGCCTAAGCTCCATTTCCTCCCCTGCGACAGGTACCATCAGCAAACCCCTCCCCCTCCCTCCCTTCCTTCCTTCTCAAACTGTAGTGTTGTCTTTCTGCTCATGAGGATGGTGTGAGCAGGACACAACTTTCTGCTCAATGACTTCTCCTCACTGAGCGACTGAGCTGAAGGCATATTAGGTCATTTCACCCCCAAAAGATAGAAAATAATTCTGCCAGTACAAAGTGAAAGGAGAAAATTAAGTTGTTTTTTCCATAGACACGGTACCAATGACACTTTACATTGATACTATAAAAAGAAAGCGTCTCATTAGGAAATTATACAATTTTTTCAGTTTCTTTATCTCTGCCTCCTTTTGTTCTAGTATTTGCCTTCTCTTGTTGCAATATGGTATCATGTAAACTACCATTAATAACAAATGCTACCTCGTAGCAAGCTAAATAAAACCCAAAACTCCACTGAATCAGGACCTACCAAAAGACACATCGACCTCAGTTGCAGTGAATTGTTTGGGGACTAGGAACAAATCAGCTGTAAAATGTATTAATTAAGAGACACTCACCAATGGCCCTCCTGAAGTTTTCCATCAGTACTTCTGTTTTCTTAATTTCCGATGAGTAAACCTCACTGCCGACCATAGGACAGAAGGGCACCTTGTTTCCCAGCTCCTGCGCTATAGCCAGGGCCAGAGCAGTCTGAAGGGAGGGGAGGTTGGAAATGTATTTAAACAGCACAATCAGCAGCACAAACCTCTGTCCTGCTAGTAAATCAACACTTACCTTTCCTGTACCGGGTGGCCCTGCCAGTAACACTGCCCGTCCTGCCATCTTTTTTGAGCGAATGAGCTCAACAATGATGCCACAGGCCTGGGGAGGGACACAAAAAAATTTAGTGTTAAAATGTCAACAGGGCCCAATTTCAATTCAAGTAGCTGAGGAAGTCTGGAGAAAGTGGTAGGATCACTGAGCTGAACACTATGTTAGAGGTTAGGAAGAGGTTAAGAAGGTTACTATCATGATTTTATTATTAAACACTGTTATATTATGATTTGCACTTAAATTGAACTGAATAGATTTTTTTTGATTTTGGTTCATTCATTTTTTGGCATGGATTTGTGTGAAGCACTTTGTAACCTTGCTTAGATAAGTGCTATAGAAATAAAGCTGTCATTATAATTATCATATGGTTACACTGACAGTATGCTGAATATATGATTTTGGATTTGAAAGTGAGAATATCAAGACTAGATCAGATGTCTGCATCTGTTATTATTTTTAATATGGCCCTTTTTACTTTAGAAAGTACATATTAACGTAGGAGAAAAAGAAACATCCATGAAATGACAACCGGTGCATTTGTCTAT